ATAGAAATGTAGTGGAGTGAAAAGTACAATATTTGTCTTTCAAATGTAATGAAGTTAAAGTAATAAGTTCCCAGAAAAAATAATACTCAAGTAAAGTACAGATACTCAAAAAGTGTACTTAAGTACAATACTCAAGTAAATGTACTTAGTTACTGTCCGCCTCTGGATAAAAGCGCTGCTAATGCCTGGGTCACACTAGACGATTTTCAAATCCAACAGATTTTAAAACCATGGGAGACCACAGACATAAGGATGGTTTCAACCTATTTTTAACATTATAATCCTAATGCACACAGTAGACTAGACAATTCAGCCAGACCGTGAGACCACACACCTAACAATTGTAGTAATGATTTCACAGTGGCAATTCCACAGATACAAAGATGTCACAGAAATTCGCGTGATCAAATGTGACTTTAGAAGAAAAACAAATATGGATGACGATCGATGTCGTCAGCTGGCTCTCCTGGCGTGCACAACACTTATAAAGGCACTCATACTGTTGCTATATTGTACAAGTCGACCATCTTTGTCAATACTCCATTTCCATGACCTGTTTGTGGCTGTCATGTTTCAGCTACAAAAGAAAATGACCTTAGAGAACTTCAGTATTATGTTAGTGTCGTATTGTTACTCTATCAAAACTTTAAAAATGTGATGCTTTGTGGACAGCATCACTTTTGATCATAAATGGAAGAATGCACATAGGTCAACTTCATAAGCCTAGAATTTTGGGGTATAGTAATTTCAAAAGTCATCTCTCTTCATACTTCTTTAATGTAATTATCATTAGTCACTACTGTTATCATAAGTTTGTACAGTATTCCTGTTTAACAATAAATGTATGATGTCACGTGCTAAATTTACTCCTGCCCATTTTTCCTCAACTCTGCAGGGAGAAGAGATGATCTGTGGACTAAAGTCCAAAGCGCAAGAGAATGATCTACTATAAATTTGTCTGATGGTTGGTAAATTAATGAGATGGTGGCAGCTTTGGAGAAGGTAGAATATAAACCATGTGTTTCCTCTGTTTCTTGCTACTGATTTTACTGCAAATTACTCTTATTATTAGTGGAATATGACTATATTAAAGACCATCCAAACATTTTTGTTCATTAAAGCACTGTGACTGGAAATGAAATCATTTTAATATGAATATTCTCTGTTATTTAATGTATTTCTATAACTGTTCATCACAGGTGAAACAAAAAGCCAGACAACAGGTATCATGAGCTCCATGCAGTCAGACTCCTCCGCAAATGTGACCTTTGTTCGTCCTGCAACATTTTTCATCAGTGGCTTTTTTAATATCCCACATGCAAAATACTACTATGTGTTCTTGTCTTTAGTGTATGTTGTGACTGTTTTAGGGAATTCATTTATCATGTGTATCATTTATTTGGCCCGCAGACTTCACACAGCCAAATACATTGCTGTTTTCCATCTGGCGCTTTCTGATCTGTGTGGAAGCTCGGCTTTGATTCCAAAACTCATAGACATATTTTTATTCGAGCACCAGGACATTTCATATGAAGCATGTTTGGCAAATATGTTTTTTGTATTTCATTTCATGAATCTGCAGTCTTTGACACTACTTGTTTTGGCTTATGACAGACTGGTTGCTATTTGTTTTCCTCTACGCTATCATGCCATTGTAACCAAACCAGCCATGTTTCTGATCATAGGGGTGATGTGGATTTTTTCTGTCACTTTTATTGCTTCAATGGTGAGTTTGATCACAAGACTCTCTATTTGTAGATCTAATGTAGTCAATAGTTATTTTTGTGATCATGGCCCTATTTATAGACTAGCTTGTAATGATAATACCAGTAATAATATCATGGCAAATATTTGCTTTGGTCTCCTTGTATGTATGCCACTGATATTGATAATTGTTTCATATTTCTGCATCGCTTTAGTTTTGCTTAAGATTGCTCAGGGTGCTGACCGGATCAAAGCCATGAAAACCTGCACCTTAAATTTCATGTTGGTGGCAATTTTTTATGTGCCACTTTTAGGTATTAATATTGCAGCTTTAGCAACATTTATCCATCCAAACGCGAGGATAATTAACAATTCTCTGACACAAACAATACCTCCTATGCTGAATCCCATCATATACACTCTAAAGACAGAGGAGGTCATGCAGTCCATAAAAGAACTGTACAAACGCAACAAGGTGAACACTATAGGCTACTACAGAGCAAAAGGTTAAATGCAAAGGGTTATTAAAAAATCTGTACTTGTGTGTTGACTATGAATATCCAATTGGTTGTACAATCAGTTGAGAGCATTCAACAAATATTTAATTTAACAGAACTGACTGACCTGTGTGTGCTATATCTCGGGTGGGGATACACACGATTTGTGCGTCATCTGTTAACAGAACTGACTGACCTGTGTGTGCAGATGTTGTAGAAAATAATCTCACAGCCTTCTCATATGTAATAAAAATAAATCACTCAAAATATTTGAGGTCACAGAATTTTGAATTTGCATTGTAATGAAGTTGTATTGTATTTGTATTGTATTGTAATGAATGGCCAGTAATGAATTGAACTAAAGTAATAAATTTACTTCATTTTGTTTCTCAATGATTGAAATGTTTGTTTGAAGCTTTCCATGTGTGCTGATGTGATTTTGTGTACATAAGGATCGTTCACACAAAAATAAAAATAATTTACTCATACTCATATTGTGTATTTTCACAAAAAGTCACATTAGCCTGGCAATTAATTTTCAACAAATGGAAAAAAAAGTTATTAAATAAAATAAAAGTGAATGGTGTTCAATGGAAAAAAGGCATTCATACAATGTACAAATGACATGAAGGTGAGTAAATGGTGATAGTATTTTCATTTCACATCTCTGTGTAAAAAGATATAAACATCATACATTGTGTATATTTATTAACATCAACATGTAAATATGCATATATGTCACTAATGAAGGAAGTTCACAAATCACTTGTGACCCACAGTGTGACCCACACTGCCAAAGAGCTTAGACAACAGTATAGTATGTAAAGTAAAATATACAGAAACTTCTACAGAAACTATTAAAAAGGACACTGAGAATAAAAGAAGTACTGCTGTTTGATTAGGGGAAAAACAAAAACTGATTCTAGTGTGCCCTCTAGTGGCAAAAGCAAGTGTTGTGCTGGATGATGGGTTGAGCCTAATTGTGATTTGCTGTGGACAATTTTTTGTTTTGCCAATAGATTGATGTGGCAACCATATTATACAATGCATATTTTTTGAATAAATATTTTTAATGGCTGTAAAGGTAGAAAGAGTCACACTTTTGACATTTCTAAAATATAATAACAACAAAGGCATTGTAACTAGGCCTGTCAAGATTCACAAGGATAGGAAGTATCTTAAAGTATCTTAAAATAAGTCCAATACCTTCTGCATATTCATTGGTTGATGAAGGCAAAACATTACAGGCAAACATTTTTTTTCATGCACTGGTCAATTTTGATATTTTCGGCTGTTTGCCCAAATATGGCTTTTCATAACATGATGTTTCAGACTAGAAGAAAGAAACATCTAAAACACACGTTTAAATGTTTATTTTAATACACGTTATCTATTTCTGTCTGTAGATTTCTGTTAAAATACATATCTTTAAAGGCATTTTTCTCAAAATGAGTTCCTCTTCAGGAACTCGAGCTGCGCCAAAATGCTTTGGGAACGCCCCAGCGAGACAACGTACTGAAGCATGTATGAAATCAGTCCAATAGAGAAGCGAGACGTCACGAGCGGGGTGACATGAGCAACCAGGAAATATAAAATCGCATCTGGAAAACGCACATGTTAGCTTCTGCTCTTCAGCGAGCGCATCTGTCTATGTGTGTGTGTGTGTGTGTGTGTGTGTGTGTTACAAGCACTCAGTTTAGAAAGCAAAAAGAAAGAAAGTAATAATGCCAAAATCAAAGGCTAAATCAGTGGCGAGCGGACGGCATTTCAAGTCGTGTGTTCCTCCCTGCCCATGCTATATCTCGGGTGGGGATACACACGATTTGTGCGTCATCTGTTTGGGAGTGGAGCATGCACGGTTAGCTCTCGAGGGGGCTGACTGTCATGATTGTGAGCTTCTCCCGCTCCGTGTGCTCTGCTCCCGCCTGGCTGTTTTCGATGAAAGCGGCCAGGTTCACAATACTGCTGGGTCCGGCCCCGCTGTTGCGGCAGCTGTTATCGTGGGGATCGCAAGTGGATTTAGCGGAGGGATCCGAGACGGGCTCGTCCTTATCTCGGTCCTCACCCGCTAGATCTACGGCTCCCTCTCATGGATCGGAAGCAAACCTCGCGGTTTCTTCCACCCGGAGAGAGAGCCAGACGCTTCATCTGTCTTCCTCTGAGAAGATTGATGTGATGAGCATCGACATGGAGGAGACTGTGGACTAGCCACCACAGTCCCTCGCATATGAGGAGCTCGTGGAGGTTGTGACTCGTGCTGTAGCCAAATTAAATATCAAGTGGCCAGCCGAGCAAATTGGACGAGTGTTTTCTAGGAATAAAATCACAGCCTTCACGACGGGGCCTTCCGTTTTTCCCTGATCTCCATGCTGAGGTATTGAGATCGTAGGAGAAACCGTATTCATCCCGACTTTTCAACCCCACTGTCTTGAATTATTCTAACATCACGGGGCTGAATGAGAAGGGATATGGGGCGATGCCGGCGGTGGAGCAGACGCTTGCGAGCTATCTCTCCCCGTCTTCAGCATCGTCCCTGAAGGCCCCGAAGCTTCCCACCAGGCCAGTAAGATTGACATCCAGCCTGGTTGGGAAAGCTTATACGGCGACAGGTCAGGCCGGTGCGTGTCTGCACACTATGGCAGTGTTGGAGGTGTACCAGGCCGACCTGCTAAAAGACCTGGATGAAAGGGAGGAAGAGGAATCCGACGTAGTCACCGAACTGCGTCGAGCCACAGACATGTCGCTTCGGGGCACCAAAGAAATGGCCAGAGCCATCAGCCGTTCAATGGCAGCATTGATGGCCAAGGAGCGGCACCTGTGGTTGAATCTGTTAGAGTTAAAAGATAAGGACAGATTCTTCCTGCTGGATGCCCCGCTATCGCCTTCTGGCCTCTTCGGCGGCGCAATAGACACTGTCTTTGAGAGGTTTTAGGAGGCGAAGAAGCAGCCGGAGGCATTCCAGCGCTTCCTCTCTCACCATTCCAAGGTCTTTGGGACTGCTGAGCGGGAGCAGTCCCAGCCGTCCAGCTCCTCATATCGCCAGATATGGCTCAATGAGGCTCAATGAGCGCCGACAAACGAATTTCGGTACAGCACCGGAAAGCTCGTCCCCTCATGTGAGGTTGCTAGAGCAGTCAGGTCGGTTGTTCCCTTCCAGGAAATCTCGTCCCCTCAGTTGAGGGAGCTAGAGCAGTCAGGTCGGTCGTTCCCTGCCGGTCATCCGCTTCAGGGCACCGAAGTGGCTCCTCTAGCGACACCAGAGGCCAGTCTCGAGAGACTGGTTCCTTTAGTAGACTTTCTGACAGCGTGGAAACTTCTGCCGAATGTCTCACTATGGGTCCTGCACACTGTAGAGAGAGGTTACAGAATTCAGTTCGGTTCTCGTCCACCTTGCTTCAACGGGGTCATTCCTATATTAGTAGGCCCCGAGCAGGCACTGGTATTGGAACAGGAAGTAGACTCTCTTGAGGAAGGAGGCCATTCAATGTGTTTCTCGTCTAAGTGGGTCCTGCACACTGTAGAGAGAGGTTACAGAATTCAGTTCGGTTCTCGTCCACCTTGCTTCAACGGGGTCATTCCTATATTAGTAGGCCCCGAGCAGGCACTGGTACTGGAACAGGAAGTAGACTCTCTTGAGGAAGGAGGCCATTCAATGTGTTTCTCCTCTCTCTCTCTCTCTCTCGAGAGAGAGTCAGGGTTCTACAGCCATTACTTTATCGTTCCGAAGAAGGATGGAGGGTTACGTCCCATCATAGATCTGCATCTTTTGAAACGCACTATAAAACAGTTTTGGTTCAAGATGCTCACTATCAAACAGATCGTGTCTCAAATCAGGTCCGAGGACTGGTTTGTTACGATAGATCTCAAGGATGCTTACTTCCATGTATCCATTCTTCCTCAGCACAGGAGGTTCCTGAGGTTTGCTTTCGGGGGCGAAGCATACCAGTATCGGGTTCTTCCGTCCGGACGTCACTCTCACCCTGCGCATTTACCAAATGTGTGGATGCTGCCCTGGCTCCGTTGCGACTCCAGGGCATCTGCATACTGAATTACATCGACGATTGGTTGATATTAGCTCAGTCAGAGCAGATGGCGGCTCGGCATCGAGATGTCGTCCTCGCCCATACAAAAGAGCTGGGGATACGGCTCAACGACAAGAAAAGTGTGCTTTCTCCACTACAGAGGACCACTTATCTGGGCGTGGTGTGGGATTCAACAACGATGCAGGCACAGTTGTCTCCTTCTCGTATCGAAGCGATTCTCACAGTCGTGAGGGGAGTGAGAGAAGGCCAGTCACTTACTGTCAAACTGTTTCAGAGACTGTTGGGTCTGATGGCAGCTGCATCCAATGTGATACCTTTTGGCCTGCTTTACATGAGACCATTGCAGTGGTGGCTCAAGACCAAGGGGTTTTCCCCGAGGGGGAACCCGCTTCGCACGATCAAGGTCACGCGGCGATGCTTACTTTGCCTTAGACATGTGGAAGAAACCTTGGTTCCTGTCTCAAGGCCCGATATTGGGGGCTCCTTGTCCTTCCGTAACGCTAACGACGGACGTCTCCCTCACGGGCTGGGGAGCGGTCTGCCCAAGGTCGCTAGGAAGGCCATCATCTCACGTGGCACATAAACTGCCTGGAGATGCTGGCCCTGTTTCGACCTCTAAAACACTTCCTTCCAGACCTAAGGGGACATCATGTGCTTGTCCGCACAGACAACACATTGGTGGTCTCCTACATCAACCGGCAGGGGAGTCTGCGCTCACGTCCCTTTTACAGGCTAGCGCACCAGATCCTCCTGTGGGCTCAGGGAAAGCTCCTCTCAATCAGAGCAGTCTACATCCCTGGGCACCTCAATCAGGGAGCAGATATCCTGTCGAGACAGGGGCTGAGGCCCGGGGAATGGAGGCTCCACCCAGAGATGGTGGAGCTCCTATGGAGGGAGTTCGGCCTGGCGGAAGTGGATCTATTTGCATCGCAGGAAACGACACACTGTCCACTCTGGTTCTCCCTCACACATCCAGCTCCACTTGGGCTGGACGCCATGGTGCAGACGTGGCCGAGGCATCGTCTGTACGCTTTTCCCTTGATCGCTCTGCTCCCGGGAGTTCTGGAGAGAGTATGCCGGGACGGGGTCCATTTTCTGTTAGTAGCCCTGTTCTGGCCGGCCCGAGTATGGTTCTCGGACCTTGTGTCCCTCCTCAACGGCTCTCTGCTGGAGATTCTGATCAGGAGGGATCTCCTCTCTCAGGCGGGGGCACCATCCTTCACCCCCGCCTGTAGTTATGGAAACTGTGGCATGGCCCCTGATGGGGCACAGCACCTAGCATCCGGTCTCTCTACTGAGGTTGTTGAGACCATACTCCAGTCCAGAGCTCCCGCCACAAGGAAACTGTATGCCTTGAAGTGGAAACTTTTCACTTCTTGGTGCGGACAGCGATTGCAAGACCCAGTCAACTGCCCAGTTGGTACAGTTCTGGAGTTTCTGCAGGAGCATTTCTCTGCAGGGTTATCTCCCTCCACTCTGAAGGTATACGTGGAGGCCATAGCTGCTTACCACGCCCTTCTAGATGGTCAGTCATTGGGAAGACACCTGTTAGTTACACGTTTCCTCCGTGGCACTTGGAGGCTAAGGCCAGTACAGCGCACCAAGGTGCCCTCATGGGACCTGGTGGTGGTTCTGGAGGCTTTGTGCAATGCTCCTTCCGAACCAATTGAAGATATCTCTGACAAGCTTCTCGCGCTGAAGACGATCTTCTTACTCGCCATATCCCCACTGAAGAGGATAGGGGATCTTCAGGTACTCGCTGTATCGTGCCTGGAGTTTGCCCAGTGCATGGTTAGGGCGTTCCCTTACCCGAGACCCAGGTATGTCCCTAAGGTGCCCACTTTTTCGCCGGGTCCTGTAGTGCTGCAAGCCTTTTGGCTGCTTTGTCCAGTGCGGGACTTTGTCCAGTCCCTAAGACATTACTGTGAGTACATCATATTAATTATTCTTTAACATTAATATTGTATCAAATTTCAACCTTTTTGCATGCTGCTTTTCTGCCCAGACAGGATGAAAAAAAAGATGATTCAAGAGGTCACTGGAAGCAGGAATATTTCCTTCCTGTCTGCTGGATTCTCTGTTATGCCTCACATGAGATACTATTATATATTCCTCTTTATTTCCTACTTTATTTCTTTTCTAGGAAACTCCTGCCTTATGTTTGTTATCATTACAGACCGAAATCTTCACACTCCTAAATATATCCCTGTCTTTAATTTATCACTGACAGACATTTGTGAGAGTATTACTAAAATCCCTCAGCAACTGGATGCATTTTTGTTTGGGAGTCAGTTGATCCCGTATGGATTGTGCTTGTGTAACATACTCTCCGATATGTTATTTGTTTCAGTGCATTCACTAACTCTCACTGTTCTGTCTTTTGACAGATTAGTAGCTATTTGTTTACCACTGAGGTATCATATGATTGTGACCAACACATCAATGCTTGTTTTAATTGTTGCTTCATGGATGCTAGCACTAATGCACACAATCATGAGCAGACATTCTTTTTGCAGAACTAGTGTCATAATCATTCATTTCTGTGATTGCGGGTCAAATTTCCCAAGCTGTGTTAGCATGCATGTTCTGTTTCAGGTGATCATTATGTTTCCAGTTTTTTTGTATTATAGCTGTAACATTGTTTAGAATCACAACCCCACATGACCGTCAAAGAGCCACAAAGACATGTACTGCTCATTTAATAGTAGTGGCTGTATTTTATGTGCCCATCTGCTTAACATATGTTTTTCGGGTCCTTTTAAGCACCAACACTACAATAATTATTCTTTCTCTGACATCTGTGCTTGCTTCAGTGCTTAACCTTATAATCTACACTTTCATGACAAAGGACTTCATGACGTCTGTGAAAAGGCTTATCAAAAAATAATAATAAAAAAAAAAGAATCATGTTTTCATCTAGTATACCTACTGTGTTCCAGTTATAATGATAGTAGCAGTGTGATTTTTGTATGGAATTCTTTAAAATAATTATAGAATTACTAAATGTAAAACAGTGTTTGTTTTGTGTGACTTGAAGTATAAATTGCAAGTGCAGCATCTTTAATCTTGTGCCAGTCTGATTTTATGTTTAAATTTCATGCAAACTAAATATAAAAATCCTTACCATATTCAATTGTATTGTAATATTTAGACACGCTGTACTGTATTTATTCAGAATAACTGTTTAGGAAGGCTGAGAGGTATGCAATGAATCATAGTGCCAAGCAATATTGACAAATACACTGAAATCATTATTTTGATAGTCTGTTATTGGGTGCATATCTAAAAACAGTTCTTTATCACAGGTAACACAACAATCATCACAACGGGCTTGACTTCAATGCATTCAGACTCTGCAAATGTGACCTTTGTTCGTCCTGCAACATTCTTCATCAATAGCTTTTCTAATATTCCACATGCAAAATACTACTGTGTGTTTTTGTGTTTTGTATATGCGTGACCGTTTTGGGGAATTCATTCATGTGTACCATGTATTTGGCCCGCAGACTTCACACAGCCAAATACATTGCAGTCTTTAATCTGGCCCTTTCTGATCTGTGTGGAAGATTGGCTTTGATTCCAAAACTCATAGACATGTTTTTATTTGAGCACCAGCTCATTTCATATGAAGCTTGCTTGATGAATATGTTTTTTGTGTTTCATTTCATGAACGTTCAGTCTTTGACACTGCTTGCCTTGGCTTATGACAGACTGGTTGCTATTGCTTTGATTCCAAAACTCATAGACATGTTTTTATTTGAGCACCAGCTCATTTCATATGAAGCTTGCTTGATGAATAAGGAATTTCATGAACGTTCAGTCTTTGACACTGCTTGCCTTGGCTTATGACAGACTGGTTGCTATTTGTTTTCCTCTACAGTATCATGCAATTATTACGAAAATCCATGTTACTCATTATAGGTGGTATGTGGATTTTTTTCCATGACTTTATTTGCTGTACTTGTGGGATTAGCCAACAGACTCTCTTTTTGTAGATCTACTGTGGTCAATAGGCAATAGCTATTTCTGTGATCACGGCCCCATCATCAGTCTTTCCTGTAACAGTAATTCCATAAATTATCTCATGGCCAAATATATTTTATTTGGTCTCCTAATTTGCCTGCCGGTGATAGTGATAACCCTCTCATATTTTTTCATTGCTGCAGCATTGCTCAGGGTGCTGATCGCATCAAAGCCATAAAAACCTGCACCTCACATCTTATGTTAGTGGCAATTTTTTATCTCCCAATTTTAAGTGTAAATGTTAAATCCATCTCAACATCTATTGATCCAAACGCGCGGATAATTAACAATTCCCTGACACAAATAATACCCCCTATGCCGAATCCCATCATATACACTCTAAAAACAGAGGAGGTCATGCAATCCATAAAAGAACTGCCTAGCCATAGGAACAACTAGCCATTCAATCCTCAGGTGGCATTTAGAGAAGATGTTTGCAGAGGGAGTGGTAACCAGTCTACGGGGAGCACCAGAGCTCAACAGAAACACATAAAATGTGAGTTAACAAGTGTTGTTGCAGCCTTCAAATGGTCACCGTGTTTAAAAAAAAAAAAGGTCAAATAAAGGTAAAAAGACAAAATAAAGCTTCTAATAGACCAAAGTACTTAATCATGAAGACAGAACTACACATATTAGAAAAAACATTGTGTAAAACATGTAAAAAAAAAAAAGGTGTTTGTGTAGTGCTCATTGCATTTGTATTTGTAACATACTAGTCTTACGAAAATTAACCATGGTTTTATTATAGTAAAAGTGTAGTAACCATGTTTTTTTTTTTTGTCATATTGATTACCATTTGTATAACCAGTTTTACTACAAATACCATGGTTAAACTATGGTTAGTGTAGCAAAACCATGCTTAATTTGTGGTTACCATGGTTTAACTATAACCATGTTTTTTTTTTTGGTTTTATTTTTTAGTAAAACTACTGTCCACTAGCTAGTGACAAAGCTTCTGTTTGGCGTTCTTCTTGTCACTGTACAAAAAAAAATGTATATAAACATACATTAAAACGTACTGCACAAGCACACCTTTCATGAATAATGAAACATTTCAATGCATTCTTGAAAGACAATCTTCCCACTACACCTTTTTCAGGAAAGTGAGAGGGATGTTTTATTGTGCAGCACTGTATCAGAGGTCTGTGTGTCAGGCAGATTGTGTGGCGGAAGTCCTTTGCTTCAGGAGCTGCTCTTTGCGAGTATTCTGGTAGGTGTTCATGCACTCCTTAAACTTCTGAACCTCAGTCTGACACTTCCTCCAGTCCTGATGCTCAGCCATACAGTCCTGAAGAGCGTAGTGCAGCTCAGCACAGCCTGTCCTGGAGATCATCCCGTCCACTGGATCATCCTCATCCTCACTCCTGCTCCGGTTGTGAGGGGATGAAGGAGTCGATGTCATCCTTATCATTTAAATTATAATTTAAAATGTGTTACAATAAGTAACGACGAAAGTATTAAAAATTATACAAGTAAAAAGCTGTATAAAAAACAAACAAACAAACAAAAAAAAAACAAACCTCTCGTACAATCAGTATTCAGATTGTCTTTCACGCTCGTGTTGGTGTAGCAAAACTCTGATATTAAATAAACTTGCCTTTGCAGTTTGTTAAGATTTCAAGAGCTTCAGGAAGGTTTCATAACTTTTAACGTAAACATTTCTTACCATGAACAGGAAATGTGTTACATTTTTAAGGGTCCGAGTCCATTAAGTAAAATGACAGTAGATGTAATTACACATGTCAACCACTAGATGGGTGACAAGTTGTATCAGAATTGTCTGAATTGTCTGTTGTATCAGACAATTGCAATCGGCTAAAGCGCCTATTTGCAAAAGTCACGACACCTCTAGTGAATTCAGTCGAGATATTTGTCTACATATTTCATATTTTTGATTTATTGTTGACTATTTTCTTGAGTAGCATGTATTAGGTTAACTTTCAAAACAAATACTGCTTAGCCAGCGAGCAGTTTCAACCTCGCCGGAGTGCAGTAGATAATCATCGTTCCAGCTTTGCACTTAGGAGATCAAGTGGCTATTGATTTTCTTCAGAGACAGATAGGCTACAGGGAAAAAGAAGTGCAATTATTAAAAAGAAAGACTTAGTTTTGTGTGTGTGGTAATGAAACATAAGGCTTCTGGGAAATGGACTGGCATGGAGATTTGCATTATTTAAAGGATTTTTGAAAGCAAACAGCAAACAAAAGCTGGCTGCCTACTATAGAGATGTTGCACTTTGCACATAAAGAATTTTTTAAATGACTAAATAGTGCAAATTAAGAAGATTAATTTTTACAAGTTAACTGCAGATTAAATGTATAAAAAAATATATTTATTGCCAAGTGTGCTTGAACGCACAAGGAGTTTTTTTTTTTTTTTTTGTAATGAAGCTTCCAATGTACATGTATAAATTAGGGCTGGTAAGCGATTAAAATTTTTAATCTAATTTATTACATGATTTATTAATCGCAAATTAATCACACATCGAATCTGGCTGAGAAATTACTCTCAAAAGATAATTTAAAGTCGTTGTGTAAAGCATCAAACAGACATTACAAAAAGTCGCTTCAGCAAGAAATATTTTGTTTGATAAAATTTATTACATATACTCTTTTGGACCATGAAGGTGAGTAAATGATAACACAATTGTAATTTTTGGGTGGGTAAACAAAACCTTTAATAATTAATTTTATTAATTTTATTATTAATACTATGGAAATATTAAATTATTTCTTTAATGAAATGATACTCTACTAAAACTGCATTTATTACATATAGAGTAAATGATGACACAATTGTCATTTTTGGGTGGGTGAACTATACCTTTAATAATTTATTTTATTAATTGTATTATTATTATTACTATGGAAATATGAAATTATTTCTTTAATGAAATGATACTCTAAATACGAAACTAAAACTGCCAGTAGGTGGTGGTAAATGTCTTAATTATTAAGTCATCGAGTCATTTATTCATTCATTTGATTCGTTCAAATGGCTGATTCATTCAGGAGTGAAGTAAATGGTTCTTTATGAATGGTTCATTGAATCATTAGGCTTGTTCGACTTGAAGCGGATCGTCATCATCAGACCGATCGGTGTGTGACATCAAAGTACCCAGGCGCGAGAGCGATTAGAGAGCAGACTACTCCTTATGCTTTTGATTCGCTCTCGCTGTCCTTTGATGTCATACACCGATCGATCTGTGCAGCTCCGCTTCAAATCCAACGCGCATATGGCCAATGGTTCAACGCGCCAAATGGTTCACTCAATTCGATCAAAACGTGCATTAAGTGAATTTACAGGAAATTGCACTAAGCAGTGGGAGTATAGCACTAAGAGAGGTCTTGGTAGGCATTTAACTGTTAGAGAGAGAGAGATGGCCTGTGGGAAGAAACTGCTTGCTTCTTCACTCTGTAAAAGTACAGGTCCTGGAGGGTGGGCAGGAGAGCACCAATAATCCTCTCAGCAGTCCGGACTGTTCATTCTTCTGACGACTGATTTGGTAGCTGAACCAAACCAGGCAGTTATTAAAGCATGCTAATGTATTAAAAAGAAAAAAATAGAATATTACATTGCTGTATTCAGTACTTCACTAATGGCAGCTATTACAGCCTGAGTTCTTTTTGGATATGATGTGACAAGCTTTGCACACCTGGATTTAAGGATTGTCTGTCATTCTTCTCTGCAGGTCCTTTGACAGGTTGGATGGTGACTGTTGATGGACAGCCATTTTCAGGACTCTTTGATTAGGTTCAGGTCTGGGGTCTAGCTCAAGACGTTCTCAGAGTCGTCCCCAAAGCCACTCTTACTATATGTCTTGGCTGTTTGCTTAGGGACATTGTCCTGTTGGAAGTTGAACATTTGGCCAAGTCTGAGATCCTGAGTGCTCTAGTATGGAATGCCAATCCTGCCATAATTAGAAATAAATAATGTACAAAGAAATGTAAAAAAGCAAAAATAAATATATAAATGAATATACAGAGAAAAGTTAAAAAGCAAAAATAAATTATTTATAATTTTATTTCCTTATTTATGTATTTTTTAATTTTTCCCCCACATTTATTTATTTTTATTTTTTTTATTTATACATTTATTTATTTTCACATTTATGTATTTATTTACGTAGTTATTCATTTATTTCCACATTTATTTATTTCTACATTTATTTATTTATTTATTTATTATTGATTATAATGGGTATAATCGGTCTCAGCCTAGTGGTTCCCCACAGAACACAATTCCAGCTCGGGCACGAGAACCAGCGCCGTTATGGTGGAAACAGAATAACAGAGACTGGTCAATTACACGTAAATTACTTCTGCTTAATGTTTAATTTTTACTTCTAATGTTTTTTAAACAAGTTTAAATATATAGGCTAAATGTATAGCATACGTATTAAAAATGATAAATGCTGTAAATTAAAGGAAGTTATCATGCAAACCAGTGGTTGTGTGGAGCATTTTACAGAAGTTTAGAGGATTTAAGTTAATCTGTCAACATTATTTCATGTATGAAGTAAAAAGAAAAAAGAAAGAAAAAAAAAGCTAGTATTATAGTACAAATTAATCAACCCATTGGCTGGGTTAAACATTATTTTCAAATAGTGTAAACTGATTACTACTTCAGATGAAGAGTTCAGATGCAAAAGCCTCTAAGTGCCATTTGAAATTTGAAAGCATTTGAAAGCATTTTAGCATTCTTATTTACTTATTTAATTGCTTTATTATTATTATTATTGATATTATGAAGTAGATTTTACAATTCTAATGAGCGTGTGCGTGACCGTGATTCGTGCGCACGCATGTCAGTGAGCACGGCATCACAATCGATCAGATGGTGTTAAAGTTGCGTTCGTTACTATAGCAAACATTTGTAGGCTAATTGCAGTGTAAATGCATTCAGTAATGATGGCTCTGATGGCCTTTGTTGACACTGATTGGATTTTTACAGAGGCGGACAGTAACTAAGTACATTTACTTAGTATTGTACTTAAGTACACTTTTTGAGTATCGGTACTTTACTTGAGTATTATTTTTTCTGGGAACTTATGACTTTAACTTCACTACATTTGAAATACAAATATTGTACTTTTCACTCCACTACATTTCTATTAAGTGATTGGATTTTTACTAGTAACAGCCCTTTATTATTTTAACTGAATTTATCGATTGGAATTAAGACCGTGGCATTCCATATTCAAGATGCATACATCTAATACGTTTTAAAAAAAAAAAATTTTTTTAATGCCCCTGGACATCAGTTTACGGGTTTGTTTCTGATGCTGTCAATGTTGTTTTTGGAAGTTACATTAAAAAAATGCAGTTAGCTCAAAAAGCTGAGGGCACAGGACAGGCGCTGTTTGGATGAGCATGATGCTTGTATGTTCAATGCATGGCGTTTGTGTTTCACTAGCTCCGTTCCCATGGACACCTTTTGTTTGACCTAATTCTGGATATTTCCAGCCTAAGACGTGTGATTAATTCGTATCTAAAGCCGTGTCTACACCAAGAGAACCCATTATAATCAGTTGATGCTGTGACCACAAATCTTCTACAGTAACTGATGCCTCCTTCTATTCAGAATCTTGGAAGCATGCGTTGTATGTGTTGAAAGTGAAACCTAAAAAAACAGCGTGCATAAAAAAGCGATTGCACACTTTTGCCAGCTTCAGCAAATGCACCAAATGCACGCGATCACAGATTGCACGCTTCCCAGCCGAAACAACCCCCCACACGAAACTGAAATAATAACCCGTGATATAAGATTTTGGCCATATTGCCCATCTAAGTCATTCATCCCACACTATCAACAGGCGCGTCATGTAGGCTACACTTCTTGTACTTCGTTTGGGCACCACAAGGTGTCACTGTGGCCTCAAAGCTTTCCCCTCACCTACTCTGGGTCGATTGCTATTCCTGAGGTAAAACGGCCTCCTCATTATCCTACGGACAAAGAAATGTATAAATAAATGTGGAAATAAATAAATAAATATGTAAATAAATACATAAATGTGAAAATAAATAAAAGTGGAAATAAATAAATGTATAAATAAAAAAATAAAAAATAAATAAATGTCGAAAAAAATGAAAAAAATATATAAATAAGTAAATAAAATGATAAATAATTATTTCTTTTTGTTTTTTTACTTTTCTCTGTATATTTATTTATATATGTATTTATTTATTTTTGCTTTTTTACATTTCTTTGTACATTTATTTATTTATTTCTAATTATGGCAAGATTGGCATTCCATAGTGCGTCGTGTTTCTTTACAAAGTGATTAAAATCAGATGTGAATATTAATGAGATGTTGCATCAAATGCATCAAGTGCATCATAGACTGCCACCTGGATTTTGCTTTGGTACACAGCAAACTGATAACAGCCTTCAATGTGAAAACTTCAAATATATCTTGTTTGGAAGGTAGCATGTACTAAGTTAAAGGGGTAATGAACTGCATTTTATTTATTATTATTTTCTAATGTTCTTAAAATTCTGGTCAGCCAGCCAGCAGTTTTTAGAGTAGCTAAACTTGGCACTTTGGAGACCAAGCAGCGTTTGAATTTCATCAGAGACATTGGATACAGGGGAAAGAATGTTTTAAAGGGGTCATGAACTGAGAAATAAAATTTCCATTGATCTTTTGACATATTTTTCGTTAGT